TATCTAATACTCCTTCCTCCTCCTATTTTCCCCACAACAACAACCCTGTGAGGTGGGTTGGATTGGCCCAAAGTCATCCAGTTGGCTTTCATGCCTAAGGCAGGACCAGAACTCACCGTCTCCTGGTTTCTAGCCTGGTGCCTGAACCACTACACCAAACTGGCTGTGTGTGCTGGATTTTCAACTAGTTTCCATCCTACCCACCAGGGAGCACATATTCCCCAGGAGGTCTTCAAATCTGCCCAAAATGCCTGTTTGTATTTGTTGGCACCAACGCACCCAGAGATGCCCGCCTTTGCACTTCTTGACAGGTCCCCACCTTTCTCTTCTCTGCCCCCTTCCAGCAAAACAAGCTTAGATGATAAGAGGACATTGCTAGAAGAGGTAGCAAGTCTCACCTCTTTGCATTCCAGTGAATGGATGTTTGGCAACTGACCACACCCCCAAGGACCATTTCTGAGCAGGCAAGCTTGCCCACAGCTCTCGAAATGCCCTCAAGACACAAGCCTACTTCCCTGAAAGGGTTGGGGGCCATTCAGTTTAAAAGAATCCACTCCCCTGATCCAATCTGGCCCAGCTTCCTGTGCTGCCTTCCTCGTTTTAGAAACCGAAACTGGACCATGTGTCTACTGCAAGCCAGGAGTGTGAGAAACCCCTTTTAAGCCCTGGAATAACCAGTGTTCAAATTGAGCAGAAGGTCAGCATCCATAAAGGTTTGCGGTGCACCAGCACAAAACGGGAGCCAATGCTAATCAATGACTCACATTGCATTTCATTGCATTCCAGTTTTAGTGCAAACACAAAGAGACGATTATTACACCTGGACGGTGAGCCTGCCACGTTCTTGTAGCAAAATGCAACATATCTCCTTGGCTACTGGTTGCCTCCCACTGGCCTTTCCTTTTGGCAAACTCGGTGTTCCTGAAAGGCAGAGGGAAAGAGCGCGGTTTCCTGTCTTACACCAAAGGGATCTCTTTCCTTTGTGTACTTTCCTTTTTCTGCACAAGATTAGACAGAAGCTGGACGCAAAACCATTTGTTCTTCCTTCCAATGCATTGCTCAGAGCGTATGGTGGCCAACGGGTTTGCAGAAAGGGGTTGGCCAGACAAGCAATTGATTTCTTCAGTCTTTCTTGCCCAAGGAGGGTGTGATGGGGTGTGTGTGTGTGTACAAAAGGAGGAAAAATGCCTCTTTTTGCTTTCAGCTAAGGAACTTTGCAATATGTAAGATGCAAGGGGGGGAAAGGATACATTCAAACCAGCAACGTATGCCAAAGAGCAGCGTTTCTCAACCTTGGGAACTTGAAGATGTGTGGACTTCAACTTCCAGAATTCCCCAGCCAGCTGTGCTGGCTGGGAAATTCTGGGAATTGAAGTCCACACATCTTCAAGTTATGTGTGGACTTCAACTTCCAGAATTCCCCAGCCAGCTGTGCTGGCTGGGAAATTCTGGGAATTGAAGTCCACACATCTTCAAGTTATGTGTGGACTTCAACTTCCAGAATTCCCCAGCCAGCTGTGCTGGCTGGGAAATTCTGGGAATTGAAGTCCACACATCTTCAAGTTCCCAAGGTTGAGAAACTGTGCCAAAGAGGGAAGCATGAAAGCATCACTCATGCAGGGTTCATTCACAACACACACCATGACACCAAGGAGCTGCGTCCTTCTCTTATACAGTATCAGGTTGACTTTCTGCTTCATCTACAAATGCGTTGCTTGGGAACAGAGGGGAGTGTAGCACGTCTGTTTATCCACGAAC